AAAGAAGGGGACTAAAAGCTAAGCCCTAATTAACTGGGGTAGAGTGTGACCGAGGAAAAAGCAATAGTTTTTATAAGTCATAGAGACATTCGGAACTTTTCACTCAAAGTAAACAAAAGTGGCGACAGGTGGGAAAAAAATGGCACTGAAATCAAAACCTTCTTCAGGAAATACTAATTTTGCTGCTACGGTCACGAGACCGGAAGCAAATACAGACATCTCAACCATCTTAACAGCTCAACTATGACCTCTGCTGGACCACCTGACTTCATTAAATTTTAATTTGGAGACATTACAAAACTATCTAAGAGAAGCTATCAGCAAAACAGCAAAACTCCGAGAACAATGGGAAAAATTTGGAAACAGTATCGAACAAGGCTATGGAACCGGTAACAGATTTAAAGCGGATCTTATATAAGCGAGTTGGATAAGCTCTATGGAGTGTATCTACAATATATTAAGAAGATTATTCTGCCCGGTGAAATCCTTGTGAGACTTACTAAAAGACATTTTATAAAGAAGATAATATACAAAAATTGTCTTTGTTTCTGTAGAAACAACAAACACTTTGTGGATGGTCTGGACTATAATAGAAGAAGATGGAACAGCAGAAGAAGAACACGAGATGGGAAATCATGGAAGTGATATTTCTACACCACTTAAAGAAGAAATTGTTTTAGGACTCTTAAACTCCCAGAATCAATTGAGAAGCAGACTTTAGAAACGAAAATGATACATTTTTAAGACATATATCTTTGACTTAAACCTAATTAAAATTGTTAGATTACTTGGCCACTCTTACTCTAGTTAAAACCATGATGTATTATCATCTGATTGTTCTAAGTGAAATATTACTGTAAGCATTGTTAAAATTGTTAGACCACTGCTACTTGGGTTCTTATCTCCTGTAGATATTGGTTACCCCTTCCTTTGATTTCTGTGTAGTTTTTAGAATAAAAGCAATAAAAAATTATAAAAAAGAAAGCTCACAGCTTCCACATGCAGGTAATTTACAAGCACAACTGACTTAAGGCCCTGTGCTTTCTGTACTTCAGATTATACACACACTAGAGCAGGTCAAGCGCTCCATCACCACTTTCCTGACAAAACAGATCATAGAACAGTGGTATAAAAACAGTAAAAAATGAAATACTTTGTCAACAGTTATTTGAAATGTTTAAGTGATAATAACAATGGGTGCAATATGTAAGCAGTATCATAATATCAGAATTGCTTTGCTGTTTCCGAATGTGTCTAGCATTTTTTTTCCAACAGGAGCCAGCCTGCTCACTGGAAGCTCCCAAGGAGGGCATGAAGGTGAAGACCATCCTCATGGAATCTCTGGCACCTTGTATGTACAGTGCCATCGTAACTACATAGAGCCTTTATGAGCTGTCACTGGATCTAACTTCCAGTTTTGGTTTTATAATTTGAAAGCCATCCAAGCCAAGCTTTTAATTGGGAAGGACAAAGCCCAGATTATGTTCTGAATATTAATTTCTTTAGCAGTAGAAAGGCTGCTCTATATTCATACAGTCCAAGGGCTGAAATATATTGCAAGCCCAGGACAATGGAGTTAGAGAAATTTCTCTTTGGACAAAAATAAAAGATAGAACTTCTTTGTTTCCATTTATTTACAAGTTATAATGGAAAAATGATCTCACAAATTATACTTTATCAGATGTAATACCATTCTGTTTTGTTCTTAACAATAAAAATAAAAGCTTTATCTTTACTATGCATTGTTGTGTGTTCTACAGCTGGTTTTTGCTAAATCAGGAAATCTTGTCTGCAAAAGTATCAAACCTTAAATTTTCTCTGCTGCTTTGAAATGTTATCCTTTCTCAAATTTAAATGAATGGACAAGGTACAATACAAGTTAAATTTTATTGAGTTTCCTGTGTCCATAACTGGCTCCCATCTTCCACAGTGTGTCCAAATACTTCTAGTAGATAGATCCCCACATCCTTTCATTAAGCTCAACTGCACTTGCTTCTTAAAAAGCGTGCACAGGGTGCAGCCTAAATTAATTTAGATCAGAAAAATCAACATTATGGTAATTTTCCATATCCTTGTAGTAAGAATACCAGGTTTCTAAAGCTAAATTATGGAAGTGTTGCAACAGAAAGTCATCAAGCAGTCCATTATGGGCTTAGCTCCTTCTAAGAATCTGTGCCTGCACATGACATAACTTCGCAGAGCAGAGGTATCTATATTCAATAGTTAATGCTAGCAAAGCAAAATAGTGGAAGTCCCAAGAGAGCATAATGGAGGTAACAAGTGCATATTCTACAAAAGCACTGATTGAAAACTTACATACACCAAGCAGTATCTTGGTTCCTTCAAACACCAAATTGTTATTTTACCTGACCCCAGTTCTGCTTCCAAGAAATGCAGAAATTCAAAAAGGTGTCAAAATAACTAGGAATGGTGTAGGAATGCACAAGAGTATCTGGAGAAATAGCAGCAGCTTTTCTCGCACTCTAACTTTGGAGATTAATTGGCTAATAAAGGATAATGGAGAATACTGTGATTCAAAATGAACAGGCTACCAGCCAAATTAGAGAGAACAGGGTAAATGCCAAATCTCAAAGAGTAATGAACTCACCAGTCCTCCCTTCCCCCTTTGTCAGTACTTAAGTTATTATTTAAGCAAAATTATTGCCTGGTACAAACTATGCTACTGATGTTTTACTGCTGCCAGATAAAATTAGTCCAGATTTTTTTTAAAAGATGGGGGTGGGAGATCTAGTTCTTAGCCCAATTTGGCTGTACAATGTTGGCCATTAAAAGAAACTATTTGAGTCTGTCTAAGTACACTTAAGCCCTTCAGAAAGTGGCTCTAGAGGTTTTAACTCCTGTAGTTAGACAGATGGTTGAAGGAAGACAGCCAGAATAAGCAAAGGAAACTCCTTTCTGGCAATTGCTCTCAAATGGACCACCCCAATGCAAATTCCCAGAAATCAAAGCTAAGGTAGCATTTGAAATTGCAACCATGAACGTGCCTTTGAAAAAGTTCAGGCAAGTACTTGAAGGAAAAAGCACATCAGTTTTCAGGCATCAGCCAGCTTAGTAGGTGGACTTAAACAGACCCACATGTTAATGTTACTGTGAATTATGGGCATTTGAAGTTCCTGCCAATATGCTGTTTTTGTAACCCAACTAAAGACTGCAATGCACAAAACACATCTAGAATCCATTAGGTGCCCTACTGAAGTTTCTTAGGTGTAAAATAGAAACAGTACATTTTCCAAAGAGAAGACAAAATTATTGTTCTGCTCCTAATCAATACTTTGAAATGGTAATTAACGTCTGCAAAAAGTTCCTGTTTGAATATCCTCCTTTATCAACATACACTGAGTAAATATAAGAAGAGCTTTATATTTTTTTCTGTGCTACAATGTAATGGAGCCAAAATGGCAGCTGCTCCTCCCACTCACACATACGAACGGAGATGTTTCATCCAGCATGATCCATATCTTCCGGGAAGCTGCCTGCTCCCGAGAAGGGCTGGTTGCCAGAATGAGGTAAAACAGCCTTAAGACTGTTTCACTGGCAGCAGATCACAAAGCTGCAGTCTTACAGTTTTTCATCCAGACACAAATTAGCAAGTGGGCTGGGGCAGAAACTGTAATGGCCAGGCTGCAGATACAAACAATTGCCAGCATAGAACCCAAGACATGATACAGCTGAAGTGGCCATTCATACCCTCCCCTTTTTTCTAGGTGACTTCTATAACTTGCTCAGTCTTCAAGCTATATGTGGGTATAGTAGTTTTGTAGCCCACAGCTGGGGGAAGTTTTCAAAGAAAGCCAACAAGTAAACTCAGAAATGAGTAAATATCTAATTGCAAATTCTTTGGGAAGTATGCCCTTCTGCAAATAAAAATGTGAAGATTTCCAGACATATCTAACCATCTTCCCGCCCCACCCCCCTTAAATGACAAGAGTTTGAAACATAACTTTAAGCTTGAACTTCTCAGACTGATTCCTTGTGTACAGAAAGGTTCATTATGAGGGAGGAATCAAAATCAGTGTTGTAACTGCACATCTCTTTACTTATGTTCCTTGCCTTGCTTAAAGGTCTGTGGCCCATATTTCTCCAGGGACACACATTTGCTGACTAATGCTACTTTAGCAAATACAAGCTGTGCTTCCTTTGGGGGAAAGAATCCCAGACTGAATACAAGGGGGTGAATGGCTACCAGTGTGATGCAGGCACTTGCTTCAGAAATCTCTTATCACAGATAAATCAGAAACAAGCAACTAACCAACTCTCCAAAAGAGTATGGAAAAAAATTGATAAAATCATACAACTTTTTAAAAATCTCATGAGATAAAAACCAAGGTGACTATTTCAATTAATGCTCAAATATTTATTATATCAAAGAATAAACTACATGAGGAAAAATTTGTACAAGTATATATTGTTCCCAGTTTTTATGACAATAAGTGAAGTCAAGCGAGATCCTAATTGCTGTGTGACTTCAGAAAGTTCCACTATAATTCTGGCCATGAAATATAAACAATTAACATCTTCAATGATATTTATAATTTATCTATATGTTACAACATAAGTAGCTTTTCAGAAACAAACTGCACCATCAGATATAGGGGGAAATGCTAATGGGGGGGAAAATCAGCAGCTTTTTGAGCATTACTACAAAAACTAACCCACAAACTTTAGTATCTGCAAAAGATCATTCGCCAGCTTTACAGTCCTTTGATATTTTACTTCAAGTTGGCTGATTCTGTATGCAATACGGCTAAGAAGACTAGAAACTCTGAGGATTTCACCATACGTAACTGCAAACTAAAAGAAAAGAGAAAATTAAAATTATTTCTTAAAAATAAGTACATTTGCTACTCTCTAGAAGCCAATAACACATTTCTCAGTTATATGGCTCCTATGGATCACCAAGGAAAAAAGTAAAAACAGCTAATTAATGTGCAAAAAGAACCAAGGGAAAAAGCAGTAGCTAACATGCCTGAAGGTCTTTCCCCTTATCATTGCTGTGTGGAGACTGCAACAGAGAAAGACAGATGAATTTCCTTGGGGAGGGAGTTCCAAAGTTCTGGTGTCATGACCAAGAAAGCCCTTCTCGGGTTACCACCCATCTAGCTTCAGATGGCAGGGACAACTAAATCAGACCCTCCAAAGACCAGAGTGAGCAGGTGGGCTCATATGGGAGAAGGCGATCCTTAAGATATGTTGGTCCCAGGTAGAGATGTGAAGGCCCGGAAAAAAACCGGAAAAATTCGGGAAAAAAACGTTTTTCCCCGTTTTTTTTTCCTGAAGCCTTTTTTGTTTTTTTCCGAAAAATTGAAAAAATAAAATACAATAAATTGATTATGGAACATTTTATTTTAACATGATGAATAAAATATTTTAAGGCAAGGTGTTCAAATATTTTCCAAATCATTTCTAAAATATATATATATATATATGGTATCTGATTGATCTAATTTCTGTGCACTGAGGACAAGCAAGTCCTAGGTTACAAACTGAACTCTCCAATGCAAGAACAAGATGCATTTCTTCCTTTAGGAGGTGCGATTGTCACATGAAAAGAAAAAGGTTTCAGTTTTGTTTTTGCATGTGGGCGGGTATTCTGTTTGTAATAACTGTTTGGATACACTATATTTTTAATATGCTAGTTGTGATAATTTCATGCCAAGTAAAAATGTCCATAGTCATATTTTATGTTCCTAAAGTAACAGGATTACTTTCAATCTAGAAAAGACAAAAGAAATTTTTATGTAGCATTTTTTCAATTTTTCCGAAAATTTCCATTTCCCCCCGAAAAAAACCGGAAACAAAACGGGTTTTTTTCCGAGCTTCAAAATTTCCCGAAATTTTACATCTCTAGTCCCAGGCCATTCAGGGTCAGTACCATCATCTGGAATTGCACTTGGAAGCAAATTGGAAGCCAGTGTAGATGTAGCCATTCCAGTTAACACTCTAACCCCAGCATTCTGTACCAACTGTAGCTTCTGGACTATCTTCAAGGGCAGTCTCATGTAGAGTGCACTGAAGTAATCGAATGTTGATGTTACCATGGCATGTACCAATGGCAAAACCTTTTCTGCCCAGGAAGGGCTGCAGCTGGCTCACAAGCCAAAGCTTGCAAAAAGCACCTCTAGTAACTGCTGCTATTTGTTTATCCAACAGGAGGCCCAGGTCCAGAAGCACCTCCAACCTATGAACCTGCTCCCAAAGGGGGAATGCAACCCCATCCTCAACACAGGATAACCCAATTCCTGGGTCAGACCTCCCCCCCCCCCTCCAGAAGCACCTCTGTTTTGTCAGGATTAAGCTTCAGCTTGTTAGCCCTTATCCATTCCAAAACTGCCTCCAGGCTCAGGTTCACAGTTTCTGCAACCTTCCTAAGATCTGCTGGTAGCACAAGATAGAGCTGAGTGTCATCTGCATATTGGTGGTAACTCAGACCAAATCTCTGGATGACCTCTCCTAGCAGCTTTACACAGAAGCTGAAAAACATGCAAGATGGAACCTTGGGGAACCTCATAGACCAGGGGCCAAGGGGCGGAGCAGCAATCCTCAAACCTTTCCTCAAAATAGGACTGGACCCACCACAGAGCAATAGTTCCCAGTCCAAGTCCCAAAAGACAATCCAGAAGGATACCATGATTAATGTATCAAAGCCACTGAGAGAACCAGGAGATTTAGCAAGGTCACACTCCCCTGTTCATTTCTTGACACATATCATCCATCCACCAGGGTGACCAAAGTCATTTTAGTCCTGTAACCAGGCATGAAACCAGACTGGGATGGATCCAAACAATCCACTCAGTAATCCTTGAGGTTGGTCAGACACTATTAGCAATGCAAGATTATGGAAATGGAACATTCTGGTCTATCTTTTCCTTTTACAGTGTCAGATTTACTCCACCCCAAAAAAATCCTGAGAAAATATTATATTATTCTATCTTGAAGAACATGCTGTGATGCAGGAACCAGCACACTACTGCTGGTGGCACAACAAGGGGAAGTTTACATTCCTGAGGGAAACTACACTGGTTCTTTTTGGATAGCACTGGTTATTCATTTTGACAATGCAAATCCATCACGTTTCACACAAGGTTTAAGAATATCATCCTCAAAGCTCTAATTATATAAAGCTTTGTTTACTGTTGGGAAAATAGGAGGGCAGGACTCCTAATCCCACCCGACTCGATAAGGGAGGGGATGAAACTAGCAGGGACCCTATAGTTTCAGAGAGACAACTGTTCCAAAGTAACTCTTATTTATTGAAATACAAAACCATAATGCCAAAATATGCAAGCAAATAGCAATTTCAGTATTCATCATATTAGAAGACATAAAAAACCAATACTTATAAACAAAGAGTGCACTTATATCTGTTTAGGAATTCGCATTCTGGCCTCCTGTCAAAACCCACAAGGGAGATGTTGGCAAAAGGCCCTGAACAACAGCAGACACTGATATTATATAGGAGAAAAATCCAGAATAGCTGTCAATTAAGGAATGACGAAAGCCAAATCCACCCCCTCACTGACCAGATGAACTCTGCTCAATGCATAATCTATTCAGTTAGAAACACCTGACACTCTCCCCATGTCAAGGCAGGACAACTCTGGAGTCACATACCCTGATATCTAAGATGTTATGGCTTCATGGTTGAAACTTAGAAATGTAAATAGTTCTTTTAGAGCAGAGGGCTTTGTCAGGCCTGAGAGAGGTGTATAACAATAGCTAATCATGCAAAGCCTTATGGAAGAGAGAACCAAACAGAGAGGCACAAGCTAATTCAGGCTGCTATACAGAAATGCCCACTCTCACTTATTTTCTTCAATGTATATCCCGCCCTCCCTGCAAAACAGGCCCAGGGTGGGTTCCAACCTGTGATAATCTGCCACATTTATAAAAGTGAATTTTCAAACTGAGGTTCTGTGGCTCAGATGGTGTCACTTAATATATATCAGGCAAAGTACTTCAACAGAAATTGTCATCAAGATAGAAAGAAATTTTGACTCTTTCTCTGATCACAATGAGAATACACCTTCAGTTTATCATCCCAGTCTCCATAGGGCTGCTTCCGGGCCCAGCTCAAGTGCTGGTACAGTCTTGGGCTTGTGTGCCTCTGGAAGTGTACCTCCCCTTTCTGGAAAGGCTTTGTTCTGTGTCCCTGGCTTGACAGTGATGCAGACAGCAAAAGCATGGAGCCAAGCCTTTCCCTGCAGTGGAACCAACATTGTGGAATATACCTCACCCATACAAGCAAAGGCTAATCCATGCATAAACCCCTTCTCCATAATTTACATAGGAGTTTTTAAAATCATACACTGGTAATTAACAAATACTCACATGAGCAATAAATTCTCTGGCTATCGTGTGTCCATTAGCAGTAAAAAGCAGAAAGCTAATAATCAGATGAACGGCAAGTTCCTCGGTAGCAGGTTGTCTTCTGCTTATTTTGCTGTTAACTGCCGCCTGCAGATCTCTGGCAGAAAGGGCTGGAGTTCTGGACAAGGTTGTGAGATACTCACATAGAGATCTGCCTTCCAACTGTTTGGAATCATTGCAAAGAATATGAAAACAAAGTTACATTCATTTAATGAGATTTACAGAAAAGAACTGATTCTTTGGTTGCTTAAGGGATGCAGGGAGAGCAGATATTCTGGATCAGAAGAGACAGCCACAGAGGAGCAGAACAATATTTTAATGCTCCTTGGTCTTGCAAAACTAATCACTGGGGCAATATGCCAGAGTTTGACCTTTTTTTGTATAAAAGGAAATGGTGGAAATCACAGAGCAGACTGTAGTCGGATTGTTATATTGTGGGAAAGAGAATATAAGGCTCTTTGAAAGCTCTCTACAATATTGTAGCTACAAATCAATTACTCCTCATGAAATCTGACCTCGTCTGATAAAGCAGTCTGATATGAATGGGAGGAAGGAGCTGGACTGTTTGCAACACATTTTCCCTTTTACTGCTTGGAGCAGAGAGAAAAAACAGATTCTGAAGCCATAACAGGAGTAGGCTGGAGAGTCAATGCATTAAAGTTACTCATAAGCTGTAAAAATGTTTTGTAGTATTCCCTACCCAAAAAGCACTACAAGAAACAGACAAAAAAATTACATAATCCAATAAACTACAATTTATTTTTCAGCAAATGGTTTCCTTATTGCTATTTTTATATTAACATTTCCATATGTTTTGTTCCTTTGTTTCAAAATGTGTATATGAAATCCTTGTATATCACATCTGATGTGCAATATAATTTATGGAATATTTCTCAGCTAAGGATCTGATCCACTTCTAGAGGCATTTAGATGACTTCATCTAGTTGCTAGGTATAGAATGTTGCTTTAGCTGCCATGACACGAAGTACTGTTTGCACTACAAGTGATCTACGATAGGATTTGGCTGTCAGGAAAATATTGGGCTTTTAAAATACTTGTAAAATTAAGTATGACAAAATAAGATTTTATACACTTGACTTCCAAACAAGTCCAAATTGATCTAAATTACTAAAACTGGCCTCAAAATAATCTATCATATCTGAAGACTTTTCTATAGAGCATTCTGGCTCGAAATTTCTTTGCAAAACCTTTTCAATATTAATTTTCTACATACCACCTCAGGTTTATAGTGTGCTTGTTATATATCATATTTTAATCCTACTCTTCCTCCATAAGGTTTAGGGAACAAAACATTAGACAGTGGGGATTAGACAAAGTCATGGAGAAGTCCATGAATAGCTACTGGCCATGGGGAGTAAAAGGAACCTCCACATACAAAGGCAGCAAACTTCTCAATACCAGTGCTCGAAGGCAGCATCAGGGGAAGGGTTAGCCTCAATGCCCTTGAGTAAATTGTAGGCAAATCTTGCACATGGCTGTATTATGGCCCTCACCCAAGCAGAAAAGGCAGAGATGTTCATCCAAATGAGTCATTTTTGTACCACATTGGATACATTTTTAAAACAAAGCCTTCTGCAACATTTTCCAAAGAGGGGAAGTCCTCAGGAAGAAAAAAATTCTGCAAAAAAACTCACGACAACCAGAGCTGAAGAGAACACATCCTCACAACACAGTGGTGAAGAAAGGACTAAGGGAAAGGGTGTTCCTCTCTGTAGAGCACGTGGCCGCTAGGCAGGAAGACAGCCTCTAATGCAGGGGTGTCAAACATGCTCTTGGAGGGCTTCTATCAGGCCCGCAGTGGAACTGGGTGTCTTCTGCTTCTTCCAGTTCTGCTGCTGCTGCTTCATCATAGGTGTGCAGTTTACAGATACACACCTGAACAGCATACTCAAGATTGCAACAGCACAGACATTTTGATGCAATAATTCAGAGCAAGAGGTGTCAGTTATCAGACACTGTTAAATAAACAAAATATTGCAAGTGTGCTAATGTTTTAAGCATGTTTTTATTGTAATAAAAAAACACCTTTGTGTTTGTGTCCTGTATAAAGTTTATCTCTGCTACCTGGCATTACATTTTATGACACACATGGCCCAGCCCAACAAGGTCTTATTTATGTCAGAACCAGCCTTCATAACAAATGAGTTCAACACCCCTGCTCTAATGGGCTCTGCAGGGTAGGGGTTCCAATTGGAGTGTTAAAGAAATACCAGAGTAGCTGGAAGAGAGCCTCCGGTGGCTGGCCTGCACAAGCGTAGTCCTCATGTGGGACTGCACAGAAGACTGAATATGAACTTAAGAATTCTTGCCATCCTTCATTTCTCAAACTTCTGTTTAAAAAATGAGGTATGGGACCAGGTCACATTTACTGAGAAAGGTGAAGTTAGGATTTTTTGTGCTGCACCTAGATTCTATGCACGGCAGTTAAGAAGGACATTTCCTTTGCCCAGATGCATTACTATGCGTATTCTGATAGCACACAGGAAGTATGAATAAGCATTGTTCCAATTTCTTAAGGTCTGGGGAACTGTCTGATCGAACAGATATCTGACATCACTGTAATACTAGGGTGTGGTGTGCAGCTCTTTTTGTCATGAAGATCAATAGAACGTTAACATAATTATTAAAAATTTAAACCTAATCTTACTGTTCTTGATCATCACAGAACTTTTTCACTATCACCACCCAACATTTTACAATGCTGTTACAATGCAACTGTCTGCAGAACAGAAAAATGTCAAACTTTGCCAAATGAGTCAATATCAAATGTAAACAAAGGATGCAGAACAGAAATCATTGTATAACCTATTTTATGCATGATTATGGAACACAGATGTTTTATTTTTTCCTTTCTTATGGCCCAATCCTATAATCCGCTGTCATTTCCCACTACCAAGGAAACAGCAGAGATAACATGAACTATACCATACACTTAGTAGAAAGATTTAACTAGAAATGTCAGCAAATAGAAGTAATAATGGTCTCAAAAATCTCGCTGCAGCACTCCCAATAAAATGTGGCCTTCTTTTTCAGGAAAACCTCCTGAATGCTCAATTACCTACCATTGTTTGAGTTCCCTGGCGATTCTCAACATTTGGATCATAGTAAAATGCCAAAAGCCACAACAAGGCATCTGAAGATTCTGCATTTGACATGAGCAAATGTTCTGCTGCAGTATCAGCCCATTCTCCAAAATGGATGAACAAAAACCAGGTCTCAAACAGGTCACCACAAGATCTGCAACAGCACCAAAGCATATTTCAGTTTTTCTGTTACCATTAAAAATTTTTTAAAGGCTCTCAACAATTGCAGGCTGACATGCTTAGCTGCACAACAGTCATGCCAATGGTAGGAAAACAGTTATTTCATACTTAGAAGAACACTTCTTAGAGCAAGAGTGCTTCTAGTAATATATTTATACTATGAATAAGGCTCGTTGTGGAAATAAAGACAAGCTCTAGAAAGTGGCTCTGGGAGAGTGTCCCGGCTTTGGGCACTCAGTGACAATTTGCTGTGGCGACCTCAGCAGGGTATAATGACACAGAGTCCACCATTTTCTCCAGAGGAACTGATCTCTGCTATCTGAAGAGCAGTTGTAATTTTGAGTGATCTCCAGCCCTCACCTGGAGATTGGCAACAGTGGTTCCCTGGGAGGGAATGGCTGGTTTGGAGGGTGGAGTCTATGGCATTGTACCTGTCGAGGTCCCACCCCTCCTCAAGCTTCACCGTTTCCAGGCTTCATCCCTCAAATATCCAGGAATTTCCCACCTGGAGTTCGCAACCCTATCAGGACTGGCCCCAATGCATTTTCTCCCAAAGGCCAACATAGGTGTGGAAAGGGCCCTTTACTCACAGAACCAAGCTTGGTTGCCTAGCAACAGGCACTGAGGAGAAAGTACAGTTGCCAGCTCTGATCAGGGAAATACCTAGAGAGTTGGCGGTGGATCCTGTGGATGGCAGCATTGGGGTGGGATGGAAGGACTCAGTAGGGTATAATGCCATAGGGTCTACCCTCCAAAGCAGCCATTTTGTCCAGGGGAACTGATATCTGTCATCTGGAGATCAATTGTAACAGCGGGACATTGGCAACCCTAGGGGAAAGTCAGCCAAAAAGCAGGGGGTTGAAGAGAATGGTATGATGGCCGCTGGGCCACCTCAATAGCCAGCCAGCCATGGTGGAGCCAAAAAGGAGAGAGAGCCATTTTAAGTTTATTCTGACAGAAAAGTGGCCACGCTGGCAGTGGGCAGGGGAGGGGTTATGCTAAAAGTCCTTTATCTTTTTACTGACAGAAGCAAGGTTGGTTGCCTACCAACAGCCACTGAGGGAAGCGTTAGTCCCGCACAGGAGCCAAGAGAAGTGTCTTCGTCAAGGGAGAGAGAGCTGTCTGCCAGTAAATCTGACAGGGAACAGGGGCTGAAGTGAAAATGGGCGGGGAAGAGGAGCAGACCCAGCACCTGGCCAATGGCACACGAGTTCTCTTGAGTGGCGGCTGAAAGCGCGGAGGAGAAAAGGGAATCCCTGTTGCTCATAATCAGCGGGCAGCTTTCCTGTACCACAACTGGCTGCCTCCTAAGCCTCCACCCGGCGGAGTCCCCTTCGCCGGCTCCCTCCAGACTGAGGCCAAGACCCTGGGCGTCAGCTCTGTGGGTGGGACTGAGGCAACGCAGCGAGGCAATGCAGCCAGGGGATTGGCAGACCTTCCGAGTGGCAGCTGAGCGAGCCAAATGCTGTGGGAGCGTGTGGAACGTTAACACCAAAAGAGAATTATATATAAGGAGAGATTAGACATTTATAAACCACATGAAGTAATATCTGTTTCAACTACTCTCCTTTACCAAGGATAGTACCTATTTTCTGGTACCCTTACCTAGTAAAACACTGCCCCTTTTTGACCTTTCAGGGATTTTAGTGTGAGTTTATAGAGGTTTCATTCTTCAGGGTTGAACTTTCTCCCCAGATTCTCTAGTGCACTTGCATATAAATGCATACCCATGAATGGCAATAGACTATGTTGTGCACAGATGCAACTGCTAAGGTACATTGGAACAAAACTGTGGACAATTATGTTTATCAAGTATACCTTCAAACAAAGAGACAAGTGGACTCAGCTTTTAAAACAGTGAACACGAAAACACTGCGAAGTAATATACAAAGGGTAGCAACTTGAGGGAAGGGGAGGCTTGAGAACTTTCTTTGGTAAGAAAACTGAAATGCTACATGCATCTCTGTATTTTCTTCTGTGCAATACAAAAAGATACACAAACATTCGTAAATAAGTGCAGTCCTTACATTCCCCAGGACTTGAAAGCTGTGTTCTGGGTCTGAATAATCCCATTTACCCTGCAACTAAACCCCAAAAGAGAAGTAAACATCTATTAAATTGATTAGTTATGGGAATATCACCTAGTGTGTTTCAGAAGCTGACTATTGCTCTGGTTCATAAGATTAATGATTTATGCTCTTTTTTCTAGTTAAAAATACCCCCAGCATTTAATAAAAGTCACAGAGATGCACTTCTACAATGTTGCTAGTGCCAGAGTAAAAACATTTTTAAAAAATTATCAGCTAGGAAGGTTCCAGCTCTTAGAACCATATTGCAAATTACAAAACTCAGTCAAATATGGCAAAACATGTTATTAGAATGTACTCTTGATGCTTTGGCATATAATTTGACATGGAAAATTGTTGTTAAACCTAAATATAAGCAAAAATGAAGAAGTTACTGATGTCAGTTGTAACACAGCAATTCATTTTAATGCTATTATTTGAAACTTTAGAATCCTGTATATTTTTAATACAAATTTGAACTTGTATGTGGGACAGACTGCACTTTCTAAGAGGCTTAAAAGGACCTTTCAGAATTGTGAACAGGGTTTCAAATATAAACTATCGGGTAAATGTAAATTCTGAAGGGGGGCAGTGTAAAATGTTTCATGTTAATCTACTAAAGCCTTACCATGATAGAGATAATCTGGTCCTTATGACCAGAGGTGAGCAAAAAAATGAAATTCTATTAATGGGTTGGGGTAATATAACCAAAGACAGCACGGTTAATGTGATGGGCCGTATGGGTAGGGCGGGATATAAATCCCAGAATAAATAAAAATAAATAAAATAAAATAAAATAAATAAATTTGGCACCAACCTTAACCAAAGCCCAGCAATGGCATGCTAAAACTGCCTTCACAGAGTATCAATCCATCTTTTCAAATTTTCCACAGAGAACTCAGCCCAACGCAGGATTGATACTGGAGATACCAGGCCTGTTGCCTGGCCCTAATGCCATCAGTATTAAGAGGGAGGTTTTAAAATGTTGAACTTTGACACTGTTCATTCAGAGAGTCCTTGGTCCTCTCCAGTTATTTTAGTCCCAAAGCCAGACAATATGGTAAAATTTTGTGGTGACTATTGGAGGTTAAACAAGGTCACAGTCCCAGATATGTACCTGATGCTAAGGGTAGAGGAACTGGTTGAAACAATTGGGGCTGCACATTTTATTTCCACAACTGATTTAACAAAAATGTATTGGCAGGTTGCAATGGCTCCTATGGACCAACAGAAAACTGCTTTTGTGACCAGAGAGGGACCCTTTGAATTCACAGTCCTAGCATTTGGTCTTAGGAATGCCCCAGCCATGTTCCAGAGGCTGATTGACAAGATGCTAACACAGCTAAAAGACTTTGTGCTTCCTTATATAGATGACAAAGCCATCTTTAGCCAAACCTGGAACGAACACCTCCAACATCTGGCAACTGTATTTCAAACAATCAAGGAGGTGGGATTAACGGTAAAAGCCTCAAAGTATCAGGTAGCAATGAGCCAAGTAAAATACCTAGGGGGCAGCTGGGAGGTAGAAGGATCGAACCTGACTGGAGCAAGGTGCAAGTCATACAGGAGTGGCCTGGACCCACAACCAAGAAGCAGATCAGAGCTTTTATAGGGGTCGTGGGATATTACAGGAGGTTCACTCCTGGATTCAATTCTATTGGTGCTCCTTTGTGTGAACACATAAAGAAATCCTAACCAGATAAGGTAACCTCAGTAACCTAGACACAAGATTGCCAAATTGCATTTGACTACTTAAAGAAGTACTGACCACAGAGCCAGTGTTAAGGGCACCTGACTTCATGAAAGCTTTTACCCTCTACACTGATGCATCTAATACTGGGGTAGGGGCCATGTTATGTCAGAGTGGGGAGGATGGCCAACAACATCCCAACCTTTACCTTAACAGAAAATTGGTGGAAAGAGAGCAACACCTCTCTGTAATCAAGAGAGAATGTTTCGCAATAGTGTGGGCCATAGTTAAGTTAAAACAATACCTATGGGGAAGGAAAATCACTTTGTGCATTGACCATTCACTGTTGTGCTGGTTAAATCAGGTAAAGAGTGCCAATAGTAAACATATAAAATAGAGTCTTCAGTTGCAGGATTACAACTTTGATATTGTACGCATCAAAGGGAAGGAGAATGCACCGTCCAGAACCACCTAAGGCTGGAAGTTGCCAAAAACAACTGAACAGGTTATTTATGTTTTTTCACTGTTGAATATATGTTGAAATAAGACATTTAACTTTTGGTGTTAGAATAAACTAAAAGGTAGAATACATTCAGGAGCTGCGGTGGTTCAAGTGGTTAAGACGCTGAACTGCAGGCTGTGGAAGGTCAGTAGTTCAGCAGTTCGAGACCCGAGTGTGCTGCATGACGGAGGGAGCTCCCGTCTCTAGTTCCAGCTCCTGCCAACCTAGCAGTTCGAAAGCAAGAAATTGCAAGTAGATAAATAGGTACCACTTCGGTGGGAAGGTAACAGCGTTCTGTGCGCCTTGGTGTTTAGTCATGCCGGCCACATGACCACGGAAACGTCTTTGGACGGCGCTGGCTCTTCGGCTTTGAAACGGAGATGAGCACCGCAACCCTAGAGTCGGATTCGACTGGCTTTTGAGCAAGGGAACCTTTACCTTTTTAGAATACATTCACATGCTTTACCCATTGCTTAGGAGACTTGTAAGAACCTCCCTTTAAACAATGAATTTGAAAGGTGGGACATGTGACAGAATGTACTTTTTAAGAGGCTTGAAAGTGCTGTAATAAAACTACTTCACCTCAGTATTTTCAACCTCTGACTTCACTGACCATTCCCCTTGATGTTAAATAAAACCTCCTGTTATTTTTGGATTTTAATAGCATTTCAAGTGCCGTTTTTTCTGTTATTTAAGTTAAAGAGAGACTCTAACCCTTCCCTCAGGTCCTGCGCTGAGAAAATAGCCATCACTTATTACTGACACAGGGTGACTGCGAAAACTACTTTAAAGAGAAGATTACATGTTACCAGGGCTGCTCAGTCAGTGAAGGGACACAAAAGAAAAACAGAAGGAAAATTTTGCCTAAAAGGGAGGGGAGTGGACAGGGTCTGTCATAGTATGCAAATAAGCTTCCGCATTCAATTCCATGTTTGGAGGGGTCAAGGACATCTTTTAAACTGCTCCCTCACAGCAATGAATGCAAAAGCCCCTGTAACAGGAGAGCACCTTGTGATTGTAAAGCAATTGTGGGTTCAGAGTTCCAGTTGCTAATTTCATTTTAAAATTGTTTTTGAGCTTGCTCTTAGATTAGTAAAGTATAACTAAAGAGACTGCAGTTGATACTACCAAGCTGTCACAATCAAATAAGAACTCTCACTTTAAAGGAATATAAAAATGGGAAAAAAAACCTTACCTCGTACATTTAGTTTTCACTATTGCTTTCAACATTTCAGCAATATGAATCAAATGCTGATGTAAACCAGCAGCTGGCAAATCTAGAAGAGGAAAATATTAACAGAAATTGCCTATGCTGAAGACTGAAATGTGTCCTATTCTGTATTAACAAAAGACGATGAGGCAAGATAAACACAACTGCTTAGCTTGCCAATATGGCAAATAATTCATAGTTGGTCTTACCTGAGGGCTGTTTAAGGAAAGCTCTCAACAGTGAGTGTGGATTATGTGGAAAGTAGGCCTTCAATGGAAACTTGTACTACAAGAAACAGGCAATAATTAAAAAAAAAAAAGATTACAATTGTAGATTGCTAGGAACAAGAAATCACTTACAGCTCAATTCTTAAAATTTGCCACGCCAGAAAACATGGAAAAGATAGCATAAAAACTTGCTGAATCTACTTAACATCATCAGTTTTGCCCTGAAGCACTGAAAAAGGCAAATTCAGTGCTGGGAATTATTTAGCAAGTGACTGAAAACAAAATCCACAAGAGGGAGAGATGTGGAGGGTGCTTTAAAAGACTGGCTGGTATACAAGAGGGGAAAATTTGCCTTCTTTCTTCTTGCTAGAACTCAGAGTCAACCCATGAAGTAATAATGTTTATATACCAAAGGTTTCTGAACTGGCTGAGACCAAGATTGAAAGAGATCTTGTAGTTACAGTGGATAGTTCAATGAAAAGGTAGATTCAAAGTGAGGCAGCAGTGAAAAACAGGATTGCACTTACCTGTAACTGTTGCTCATTGACATCTTCTGTGCAGACACATTGGGACTGTGCTTGTGCAGGCCAGCCACACACAGATTTTGTTCCCAGCTAAAAAGCCCCTCTAAGGGGCACCCCTCCCCTCCGGAGCGAATGGCTTTTCCCGCCTAAACTGTCACATGATCCAGAGGCAGGGTGCCCCCTTTTCCCTCTGTTCCTGCCAGGCTGCCACCAACAATCACACTAGTAAGCATAGCATGTAAGAGCTCACAGCAGGGCAGGAGGGAGGGAACGTGTGTCTGCCCAGAAGACATCAATGAACAACAGTTACAGGTAACTGCAACCGTTTTCATCTTCCGTCTTCAGCTCAGCCCCATACTGGGACATTAGCAAGCTACTCACTGAAGAAAACAGGGTGAGGCTCTCACTCAAAAGTGACTGGAGAAAAGCCTTGCCCACATTTATGCCCTTCCTCGCTTGCAGGTCCAACGCAGTGTTTAACAAATGTATCCTCCACTGACCATGTTGCAGCTTTGCAGACATTCACAATAGGGACTCTCCTGTAGAATGCAGCCGAGGAGCCTTGTGCTCTTGTGGAGTGCACTTTAATCTGCAACAGGCATCATTGTATGGGGAATGGCACTAAGCCTGGAGAGTCAGGGTAAAGGCGACTCAGGATTGTGTCTTTCAGTCTGTTGTCCAAAGTAATGACATTGATGTCGAGAGCCTTGGCCATCCTCAGAAGTAAATCTTCGCTAGGGGAAACTAGGGTTGGATCCCCTACAGCAGGGGTATCAAACTCAATTGTTATGAGGGCCGGATCTGACATAAAATAAAACATGCTTAAAACACTAGCACTCTTGCAATATTTTGTCTGTTTAACAGTCTCTGATAACTGACACCTCTTACTCTGAATTATTGCATCAAAATACCTATGCTGTAGCGATCTTGAGTATGCTGTTCAGGTGTGTATCTGTGAGCTGCAAACCTACTTTTGATTTATTTACATTAATTACAGAAATCTCATGCTCAGTTGTCTGATCCTAGGACCCCGGGGGAAAACATGAAATGGCTGGACAGCATTGTGAGCTTTCGTACATAAGTTGCTTCATGTGCCGGTTAAGAACATGAGAAGGCATCCTGACACAGTTTTGCCTACAAAACTTCTTCCCCAGAGTAACTACAACTTCCTACAAAGGAAATGCGCTGGATGAACTTGGTCTGGACATACACTCTCAGCATAATCCACTTCACTGACTTCTTGTTATTCCTCCTCTAAAACAGTTCACATTGCTTTCTTACTGAGAAAGACTGGATCATGAGGGCATGAATACAGTGAAAAGGGAGAGGGAACCTAGTTGCACCCAGGAGAGCCCTGGCATAAACACACACACACAGCACAAGGAGCCCAACAAAATACACACACAGTGTAGCAAGGCACACAAAAGCTCACACCCTGAACAAACTTGGTCTTAAAGGTGCTTGGTATTTCTCCCATGTGATTGAGGCAGCCCAGCAAAGCAAGCTCTCCCTTATTTCCTCCCTCCCTCCCTTTAGAGAGGAGCCTCAGCCAATTGAAGGAAAGAAAGGCTTCCCTTTGTCTCCTGTATACGATTGATGCAGTCTGATCAGTTCCATCCCTCCCCCCTGGGAAGAGGGGAAGGAGCCTCAAACAGTTCTTTACCAGACTCTCTCAATCACACAGGAGAGACTTGCCTATCTATCTCTCCTGTGCGATTGAGAGAGTCTGGTAAAGCAAGCTGCGACATGGCAGCAGCAGAACTAGAAAAGGAAGCAGGAAACAGCCAGGTCCTTGCAGCCTGATTAGAGCCCTCCAAGGGTCTGATCCAGCCTGCGGGCCATATGTTTGACACCTCTGCCCTACAGCATCATCGGGTGACGGGTTGGATGTGTCACGATTGCTCTGGCGGGCCAGGCAGGACACGGAAAATCCAAAAACACAGGCTGAGGTCAGGGCACCAGATAAGGCAGAGAAACAAGAGCAGAGTCCAAAATATCAGGTCAATACACAGTCTAAGGTTACCGGAGATTTGCAGTCAGAGTTTCAAAAGCTGAAAGCCGTTGTCAAGAGTCAGGTTACACAGTCCAAAGTCAGGGAGCCAGAGAAACGATGTCACGCAGTCTGAAGTCAGGAGTCAAGGGAGTCAAGAGGAAAACCAGGAAACAGGAACGCAGGATCCGAGGTGCAGTGATTCGTCTATGCGATTAGTTGCCAGCACAAGTTGGGGATTCGAGAGAGCCGCCTTAAAAGCCCATTCCCCTTGTTAACCAATTACTGGCTGCTCACAGAGTCCTGGCTCCGGTCAGTACTCTGGACTTAGAGGACGCCGACCTTGCATGCATGCCTCTTTATGCCGGGTTGCCATGTCCCGTCACCTTTGTTCTCTCAAACGATTCATAATAATGTGTGGGGGGGAATCAGGAGACGTGGTGCTCATGCTCGGCTCTGCAGGAGCGGCTCCAGGTGTAAACTCTCCTTGGTAGCTGGTGCTCATCCTCTGCAGAACTTAGGTTTGGTACTTCCAGGGGTGCAAGGAGCTCGTTCTCGAACGCTGAAGGTACAGAATCACCAAGATCAGGGTCCACTGGATCAGGCTGCATGGTGGGCATGACACCCCCCCCCAGGGCCCCCCTCCTCCTGAGGGCTGAGTCTGTTGGAGTACTTGTCGTGATATCGTTGGACCAAGTCAGGGGCATGAAGATTGGTGGCGGGCTCCCAGGACCGATCGTCGGGACCGTAGCCCTCCCAGTCAACCAAATATTGTAAGGTTCCCCGCTGGTTGCGGGAGTCCAGGATCTGTCGAACTTCATATTCTTCTTCATCGTCGATGATGACGGGCAGTGGTGGTGCTGGTGGTGTGGGACGGTTGAGATCGGCTGGAGACGTAGGGATCAGTAGAGACTGATGGAAGATGGGATGGATGTGAAGGTGGTCTGGGAGCTGAAGACAGAAAGACACGAGGTTGATCTGATCCGTAATTTTATATGGGCCGATAAAATGAGCGTCCAATTTACAAGAGCGGCCAGGCCGTCTCAGATACCGAGTGGATAACCACACTAGGTCTCCAACATGTAGTGGGGGGGCTTCTTGACATTTTTGGTCTGCAGCTTCTTTGTAAGCCTCTTTGGCATGTTGGAGCTGTTCCTTAAGCAGAGCCTGAAGGGCCTGCAGTTCTTGCAGTCGCGTGTCTGCTGCTGGAACATTCGTGGGAGGACAAAGGCTGAGGAAAAAACGGGGGTGACGGTCGTAATTTGCTGCAAAGGGAGTGGTTTGGGTGGAGGCACAAACAGGGTTATTGTAAGCGAATTCGGCCAACAGTAGCAGGGAGTACCAGTTGTCTTGCTGATAGCAGGCATAGCACCGTAAGTATTGCTCTAATGTGGCGTTAGTCCGTTCAGTCTGGCCATTGGTTTGGGGATGATATGCCGAAGATAGCTGGACTTGAGTGCCGAGGCCTGAATGTAAGGCCTGCCAAAATCAAGAGGTAAATTGAGGTCCACGATCGGAGATCAGATGGGTGGGGAGACCGTGGAGTCGGAAGATGTGTTGGAGGTACAGCTAGGCGGGTTCAACACCGGTAGGTACTTTTGGACAGGGAACAAAATCTGCCATTTTGGTAAGGGGGTCTACGACCACAAAGATACAAGTGTGCCCATGAGAGCGGGGCAGATCGACTATGAAGTCCATGGATATGGTGTCCCATGGGTCGGAAGGAGTGGGTAAGGGATGGAGTAATCCGGATGGCTTGACTGGGACATCTTTGGCTCGTCGGCATACTTCACAGGAGCTGTCGATCAACATCTGCCCGGACTCGAGGCCACCAAAATTCACGAGTCAGGAGGTGAGTCGTCTTATGACGGTAAGGAGTCGTGTGTCAAGTGCAAAATCCGAGCACGAAGGGGTCCAGGCGGAATATACAGGCGGTCCTGATGGAAAAGCATGCCCTCCCTGGTGGTAAACACACCTTATGGTCCCTGCTAGAGGTCCTGTAGTCGTTGTTGCGCCCACGGATCGGTGGCTTGACTTACTCGGATTTCATCTGCCAGGCACCCGTGGCTGATGCTAGCAGCAAAGACCTCTGGAGAGAGCATGGTGGTTTCTGGAGATTCCTCGGCCAGAGCTGGTGCACACTCGGATTTCCAGAACAGAGCGTCGGCTTTCTGATTCTGGGTGTGCGGGATGTACAAGATCTTGAAGTTGAAACGAAAGAAGAATAAGGACCAATGGATCTGCCGTTGATTTAGGCAACAAGTTGTTTGCAAATGTTCCAGATTACGATGGTCTGTAAGGACGTGTACCGGGTGGTGGGCGCCTTCAAGATAATGTCGCCATGTTTCGAAAGCAGCTTTGATGTCCAGCAATTCCTGTTCCCAAATGGTGAAGTTTCGTTCAGCAGATGTTAGTTGACGAAAGTAGTAGGCACATGGTTGTAACGGCTGTGTGGGGTGATCACGTTGGGACAGGATGGCACCTAAAGCAACACTAGAAGCATCAGCCTCTATGATGAATGGGAGGTGAGGGTCTGGATACCGA